ACCTGAATGCATTGCTCAGGATATTTCAAGGTAAATCACACAAACACTAATTTGTAAAATCCCTGCTCTCAGCGGGCTCAGCTTCACTCTACAAGTCAAGGCAGGACAAAAACTTGTTTTTGCAGATTTTTGACACTTACATCAGCCAAACTTCCTTTTAGAAGGAGCACAGCTGGATTCTTGCCACAATGCAGGAGTTTAAGAGTCAGCCAAAAGTTACTAGGCTGGTCAATTACACTGTACCTGCTACAGTACGAGGCTCAGCTCGTACCCTTCGAAAGGCAACACGCACGTGTGCTGTTACGAGAAGCCACCGGCATTCTTGGCCTGAATGATGACCCACAGATCTCTGAAAACCACACGTATAGTATTCAACTCACCCTGTGCTGAAAGAAGGATGGGTCGAGGTACTTGTCGAATCTGTCCTCAAACTTCACATCCGACTTCTTCCATTTCACCTGTGATAGGAAAGGTTTATTTAAGCTGTGTGGAGCAGGAACAGACTAGGACCCAGCAGGAAATCTGCAGCTGCAAACTAGTTTTGTCTGTTGTGCTTTGAGCCATCATAATAAAGTTTATGTTAGATACAGAATACAGGAAGAAATACAGTAGTATGGAAATTATCTCTGCTTTATATGGGGTCATCGCTAATTTTCAAAGACTAATTTTCCTAATCCTCGCGGGTCTTTAGACCATGGTGGAAACGCAGACAACAGGCGGAAGATTCCAGGTACTTTGAATAGAAATGTGGCTTTATGTTTCTGTATTAACATGTTAAGATAACCTGAGCCCAATCACATTTCTAAAGACACATACTGCAGACATACAATGAGCACGTAAAAAGCACCACTGAGTTTACTCACAGAATAAGACATAGCGATTCTTGTGTTGGGCACAAGTCTGACTTTGCCTTCACTGGTCAGATTTACATCAACAATTCTGTTGCCGTTGAAGCCGATCTCCAGTTTCTTGTATGTCCACAGGTAGTGATCTTCTCCGTTTTCATCTGCCTCACCGACGATACCTTAAAAAGAAATTGATTTAGAGATCTGGTCTTTACAGAAGTGGTCAAGCGGGCAGGTGTAAACAAACACTGAGCCTTCGGTTATATAACATTAATAACCAGGGAGTGTAAATGCCAAATAAAAAGGTCACTTGCTTCATTGCTTGTTAACTTTGTAACAGCATAATCTGTATTCATCTGTTACATTCAGTCTTTAGGCTTCAGCTGTTATCAGCGTTTGTCCCTGCTGGCCACCGTAAATAATCTCTTATTCTGTACAAATCAGTTTGATGCATTCTGAATCAACTCTTAACTGGCTGCCCCGTTATTCCAGCTCAGCATATTTATCCTCCTGCTTCTCCACTGCAGGTACACGACAAATATGCTAAATATAAAAAGTAAATTTTATATAAAGCAGATCTGAGGCCACGTAAAAAGCTATAAAAATTTCCCACTGTTTCTGAATATAGCATTGGTAACAGGTCACATACTACTATTAAAAATACACATTCTGGATAACAAATTCATTTTCGCAGGCATGTTTTTTGTTCTAGTTGACCAACTTTAGGCAGGTGTGCTGGATCTAATAAAGGCATTATAGTAAGTGGTGCTTCAACTGCGCTGTGGTTCAGAAAGTGATTAACTTCAGCTCAGCTGTTCTATGAACAACCTCAATCAAACATGATAAGCGTGCTGGTTCAGTTACCTCGCTGGCAAACCGGATGCGAGGTCAAAGTCTATTTATTGTGTTTAAGGTACGAGTATATAACATAGAACGTGGAGAATTATCTAAGTAAATGAAGCCAAGCCAGCTCTCCGCCCACATCCTACAACATCAGCTAACGTAGTGGGAGTAGTTTGAGCAACTATAGGAGTGGCACCACTGTACAAACTACCACGTATGTGACAGATCACATGATAACTCCTTAGAGTGACAGAGACTCATTAATATGCTTCTCAGCACTGGAGCAACAATGGAGAACTTGATGTTAAAAGTTTGGTGTCAAAAGCCATTTTACACATGTGAATGTACCAATACTGTAAGTCACAATATCAATTCTCTACAATGTGCATCACAATCACATTTTAAAGTAACTCCTAACGTTGCACAACGTTAACCAACCATTGTTCGACAGATTCTGAACAAAAAACATGCTGAATTATTTGATCCACCACACGTACTGACTTGAATGCTTTTTAATAAGCCATCTGATACATGGTTGTGTGTACTGTTACACCGCTGGTGGGTTGGCCAAGAATGAATGGCCAGTCCCACCCATGAATAAGAACTGGTTTAACTTCTCCAGTATCACGATAACCACACTGACAGGATGTCACTGCAGACCTCCGTAAGAGAAGCCATTGAGCAAACAAGCGGCTCAAAACTGAGAACGAAAAAGATGAAACCGATAGACAAAACCAGAAAATAATAAAAAGGAATTGATGTATCACTTACCCCAGATTGGCAGGTCGTCTATGTACATTTGGTACCAGTAGTGATTCTTTATGGCATAGACAAAGGCGTCCCGTTTGGCTTTGTCCAGGTCAATTTCACAGTACGTTGTCTGCATGACTTCATCTACGGGGATCATGAATACAGCATCATTTATGTGAGATACAGGGAAAGGAAGAGATCAGCTCGAATGTGCTCAACAGGTGAAAGTCGGCGTAAGAGCAGCGTACCTTTGAACTTTATGTCTAGGCCGCTGAATTCGAGCTCCACTCCTTGCAGAGCCTCTCCGAGTGTTTCATGGTAATGACTGATGGTCTTCTTGGAGCCCGCGCAGAAGGGCAAAGAGAAGTACTTGTACGTCTCCTGTCGGTTGTGGTAAGGCCCCACTGTGTTCATCCATAAAACTACCTCCTCCTTATCTGTGTACTGCAAAGGGAAAAGAGCAAGGACTCTTATTGTGAAGGCCAGGAATGCTACACGACCAGTTAAATATTCTAGATATTTGTTACTCTCACTTTATCCCAATATGCCAGACACGATGCTAAAAGGAAAACTAAACAAAAAAAAGGAGTTTCTTGACCTCATCAGTCACATGACAGATCTGACAATCCCCTTATTTGCCTAAGTTATGCATTCTGGGTATTTATCCAAGTGATTTTACTGCTAAGAAGAATGACCGTGCATTAATAGACTTGTGTCTCTTACAAGATAAGAGAGCAATAGCTAAAGGCTGGCTATTATTATTATTATTAAGTGTCACAACGAAGAAAAGAGTTTTAAACATCTGGAGGAGCTTCATGGAGTTCCTGACACAATATGTTAACGGTAATAGCAACAAGTATGTGATTATAAAGTGCATTTTATCACAATATCATCCTTATATTTACCTTTGTTTTAAGTACTGCTTTTATGTGCCTTTTAATTTAATGATCCACTGTTTACGCAGCCAAAGCTGTCTATTATATTTTGATTTATTAACATTAAATGTCTCCCCCCAATGAAAAACACTATTTATTATATTATAACTTTGAATACAAGCCAGCCACTAGCATTAAAAACAGCACCACAGCTGCAGATGCGTTTGATTCAGACAGCTGGCTGGGTGTAAAAGAAGATAACACACTTTAAAGTAACGTTTTAATCACGTCGTCTGAATTCAAATGCATGCAAACATAAAGACAATGTGCCACTTATCGCTGCGTCAGTGTCCCATTATAGTAAGAGTGCGAGAAGTGGAGGAAGTTACCTCCAATATCCTACATCCGTTTCCCCACTAACCTACCAGTCTGCACGCTTAAAACACCTGGATTACATGCGGGAAGACAAGTTATTAACTCATTAATCTGTTGTAATTAAAGATGTCTTGGGGAGGAAAACACCGAAAGGCCCTGACGTTAAAACCGGTGTTTTTTTTTTTTGCAGCTAAAAACAGCAGGAAACCGTGTTTTTTATCACTTAAAATGAGGCTTAAAAGCTTTTACACGCCCACTAAACAACGCAGCTTTCTCGTTATATTAAATTAAACCAACCAACCAACCAACAAGCCTAAGTTGAGCGCAGTTTGTCCGCCGGTGCTACAAGAAAAGCTCATGTGTGTGTGTGTGTGTGTGGAAGACGAGCTAACGAGCTAGCAGCAGTTAGGCCGATAAGTGGAGGCAACTTATCTCCAAACCGATCGCCTCTGTGTTCAATAACTCGCCTTATTATCGATAAATAACCCCACCAGGGCCGAGCAGTGCACTCAACCCGTGTCTGTGAAGCTGTTCAACCCCAGCCCGTCGCAGCTACAGCTAGCAGGTTTACACAGAGCACCATTATTTTCAAGGCTCCGCTCCTTTTTTTTTTTTTTTTACATTCTCTATCGCCCGTCTGTGTCTGCTCACCGTGTGTTCGTGTTCATCCGCGTCCGCAGGTAATAAAGAGCCCATTATGGCGAGAAAGGCCGCCGCTGCCACCTTCCACCTGGAGGATCCCATTATTGTCGGAGAAGAGTGTGCAGAGAGGAGACTGGGGCAGTTAGCTTCGCAGGGCTATCCCACCTTCTTCCTGGTTGTATGACAGAGGCAGTTTTTTTTTTTTTAGGGATGCTCTCGTTACGCATTTGGCGTAAGCGCTCACCGCACGCACGCCGGATTGGTCGAGGCGCGCAGCTGGCCAATCAGAGCGTAGAGCGGTGGGCTGCGGCGGTGAGTAAAGGAACGCTGTCGGCGCATCGTCCGCAACCTTCAGCCACGTCATCCGACTGCCAAGACAGGAGCTGCAGCTCACCTCTGACAGAGCTGCTGCATGAAACATGATCCCCGCACACAACCAACAGGTCTGTTCACCGTCTCATGAGGCCTCCTATCGGGCCTGAAGTTGTCTCAAGGAATATCTCACTTTTAATATTATATTTTCATTTGTACCATCTGCCCATGGGTGCAGATCCTGGGGGGGACGGGGGG